AGATAACCCAAATGGCAATCGACAAAAACTATATGTTTCACCCTCGAACACAAACCCAAGATATTTGGTATGATCCGGCAATACTGGAATTTGTCAATATGCTTGCGTCAAGTCTATTGTGCTCATAATTTGCCCCTGTTTAAAATTGGCCATTAATTCAGACGGATTGGGAGGATTCACGAAATCCTTCTTAATCTTTGAGTTCAGCCCCCGAGCGTCCAAACACACGAGAATATTCCCATCCCTTTTCTTCACGCAAACTAACGGCGAAATGTAGGAAGTTCTTTCCTTTTGAATAACACCGGCCGCTAACATTTCACCAATCTGCCTTCTAACTTCATCCCGATAAACCATAGGAACAGGATAAGCCACAAAATTAAATTCATATTCATCCACTAGCTCAATTTGATGAAAATAGTTGACGACGCGTCCCGGTGTATCAGAGAATGTGTTCCTATATTTTTCCAAAATACTTAAATGTGAAGCCTTAGCACTCCCACTCAAAGTAGTTTTCGCTGCTGCTGCCTGAATATCCTCCGCGCTGTAGCCTTTGCTGCGGGAATCACCGTCATCAACGCTGTACTCTAACAGTGGCGTAACCCTGCTAGCTTTATTTTCGACTACATCTAACACATAATCATTTTTCTCGCAGAGGTTTATAGATATTTTCTGCGGATCAATCCGGAATGACAGCTCCGTATTTACGGAAACCCCTTCTATCATCAGCTTCAGCTGTGAATATTGATAATCCAAACGTGCTTGATGCTTGGATAACCAATTTGATCCAAATATCAAATTGCAATTGAGTTGTGGAATAACCAAACAGTTCACATCCATATCTATTCCTTCTAATTGAACTGGAATCAAGATTTGCGACTTTATCTTCTGCGTTTTACCGCCTATTGCTACAGAGATCACTCCTCGTATGACCGGTAAAATTGGAAATTTCCCGAGATTGCTTAACTCTGAATAGAATTTCTCCGAGATTGCGCATATATCTGAGCCGCTGTCGATCAATACTTCTACTAACGTACCAAAAATATGTATCGATATGGTCGGCGAAACCTTTTCATCATCCTGCACTATATCCTCCGGGTTGCTTAAAAGATCGATGTCTGGATCCCTCATGCAAGCCAGTGAACGCACGGTATGTCCCTCATTATTTCCCCTAGCGGTCGGCCGCGTATCTCTCGATATATCTCGCTCGGAATTTGTTCGATTATTTTCAGATCGATTACTACAACCCTGCGCATTATTCATGTTCCTATTCGAACCCCCCACAGTAGACAATTCGTCAATACGTCTCAGATATTCCTCTACCGTATCAGGCGACGTAAAATTATTAATAATCATGCCCCGCTGGACTTCCACATCAAAATGTTTTACCAACATTCCAATTACATTTTGCATCGGAATTTTATTATCAAAAAAATTTGCTTGCGCTACTAGATTCAAGAAATAATCTGCTCGACTGCCATACGAGTGCGTACCGTAGACCAACGTCATATACAACTCTCTTTGTTTTTCAATGCTCCAGAATCTATTTTTAAATGCTAGACGAAATGAAACATAGTCGGCAAAACAATCCTCCTTAACGCTAGCCCAATCGGCCGCCGAACCTCTTAAGAAACCAACAGCTAAACCCAACTGCGCATGCTCAGGAACACCTGCATCGCTAAATATTTTTTCAATTTTCTTTAAAAATAGCATAGGGTGCATTTGCCCATAGTTTGAAAATGTGACATTACCACCTCCTAACTCTTTCCAGTTTATTATATAGGATCTATCTTTAATTACAGTCGAACAATCATCCATTCCTTTAGAAGTACAAACAGTCTCCGGCACTGTCTCCATTCCAGACATCAGGCCCTCATATCGTGTGTCGGAGGTTGCCACCTTCTCAGCTAGTTGCCCTACCGTACTTTTTAACTCTGTCACTGATATTGCCAAATTTCTAACTAAAGACTCAAGGTCCTCCTGCACCTCCTTTGTACTCTCTGCCCTGCGTCTCCGCGACTTTCTGCTAGACATTTCTACAGCTTACCTAAACGACAAATTGTTACAATCCTACAGTAAAGTAAAATAAGGAAAGTTTTTTTTGTTACAATGACTGTTTCAACACAGTAAATAATATTTTACGGCCAACGGCATTATCCAAAGCACTGAATCCTCTTCAGATAACTCTTCATCAAAGGATTCGTCTGAGGCTTCACATTGCACACTAGCGGAGCTCCTACGCCATATTAAAGACCTCAAGGTGCGTAAAGCTCTCGGTAAGGATCAAATCACCAAGGCGTTCAAGTTGCTCTAGCCGAAAACTCTGACATATTTGACGTCAATAAAAAATGCGATGCTCTGAACCCAGTACTTCCCTGCGTGGTGGCAGACTGCTGACGTCATTATTATTCCAAAGGTGGGTTCGATATTCCCTCAGGATTACCGACCCCTTAGTATGCTATCCAAGTTACGTTTCGGCAACGATATCCCTTGTTAAATAAATCCTCCAAATCGGTAAACCAAGTTCAACTATATAGATATTAGACCACCCATTACTTATGCATGTGCGGCTTGGTTTTTCTTGCCAAGACTCACAAGCAAAGTCTTCAAACACTGCAAAGCAGGACTTTCGAACAATTTGCAACACCTCATGGTATGGAGTGTCCCATTCTGCTCTTCCAGACGCAACTTTCTTCGAACGTCTCTCATGAGGTATTGGACCGAAGTCAGATTAATTTCTCTGTTTTTCGTAAATTTCGTCTTGATTGTTCTTCATCTTGGTCTTCCTAGACGGTAAAGCCCAAAAATCCTGTATTGGGCGAGTCTTCGGCAAGTTTGGAGGATTATCGTTTTTGGGAACAAAAGGTATGTTGTGTTGTCGAAGCCAGTTGTGGGTATCTCTAGGTCTGGCCAAAACATGATATGGTCATTAGCATGATGTTCGTGGACAAAATTAAGCAATTTGGAATGGCAGTTATCATTGTATGGCTCTGACTATTCACAACTTCACCCCTCACTCGTCCCACAAAAGGTTGGGATACACCCCTGTTAGAAATTGCGCACCAAACAAGGATTTTATCTGCAAATTTCGCTTGATGTTTGTATCTAACATTGTCAGGGCATTCCTCTATGTTGTCCGTATAAAATCCGTCGTTCCGCCTCAATTGGTACACGAAGGAGTTGCGCTTGAGAGTATTTGAGGCACTTAGTCTCTTTCGATATCTAATACTATTCCTCCTCAATTCCACCGAAATCGTACTCTTAGAAGATCTGCGTTGTCGAGCCAGTCTCCTAGTTGACATTCCAACCTGATGATTTTTTGCCCTTCTCACTAATATCTCTGATCTCTGTGCAGTAAATGCACATAGCCTTCCACTTTTTGGGAGATACAGACATGGTATTCCCTGCTCGCACTCCGCTATTCGATAAATGGTCCTGCGTGAAATGTTTTCATTCTGGAATATTCGACAGATTTCAGCTTTGGGTACCCGCCCAACCAACTTGTAGATACTTTTTCTTATTTCTAATTTATACGATATCTTGAAGCGAAAACTTCAAAATAAATAAATGTCAACTGACAGTAAAGTAAACTTTTGTTTCCAAAGGCAACTTGATATTATTTTGTGTTTGTGAAAATTAAAGCCAATGAATTTTGTGCCAAAACTTTTAGGGCATAGGATAATTAACACGCTTTTATAAGCTTGGCCTGTATTTATGTATATGATATCGCAGTCATGTTTGATGGGATTTAAGTCCGGCCACGGCAAAACATTAACGCCTGCGTCTTGAAAGCGGACGACGAGCAATATGGGGACTTGCATTGTCTTGCTGAAAAAGGACGTGTGGATGGCCCTCTAAATAAGGCAGTAAAGTGGTTTGTAGGACATCAACATAACGCGCAGCAGTCATATTGCCTTGGACAAAGAGAAGGAGTGATCGGATACCATAGGCAATAGCCCCCCAAACCATTACTCCAACAGTCCTGTGTACATGTCTCTCAACAGGAACTCCAATATCACGCCGTTCTTCACGACGGCGTTTTTCCCTTCTACGATCCATCGTGCGTACCTAGACAGAATCGCGATTCGTCGCTGAAGATGATATTATGCCATTCTGCCTCCCAATATTACCGTTCGCTGCTCCAGTTCAACCGTTGACGACGGTAGTCCGTAGTCCGAGATAACACTAACCGTGGGCGGTATGAAAAAAGTCCAAAGGCTCGAATGCGGCGATACACACATAGTAACAGGTCTACCTTCTTCTCCAAACCATTGGTCAGCGATCTGACGCGTAGTAGCAAAACGGTCTCGTAGAGCTAGTTGTCTGAAGCGCCTATCTTGACGCTCTGTGGTACGCCTCGGTTAACTAGTTGGCCTTCTTCATATTCCTCTACCTTCTATCCACACACGACACACACGCATTACCGTCATTGCAGTACAATTAACATGCCAATTTCGCGATAGGACAAACCAACATCTCGATAAGCAATAATTCTACCCCTGTCAAAGTCGTTAACATGGTGATAATTCAAACGTCTTCAAACTCGAGGCATTTTGTTATGCTTAACACTAGTAAATGAAAGGGGAATAACTACAAATATCTGTGCTACTCAGCTCTCAGAAACGGCCTTCTTCAGAAAAAGTAAGAGATAACATTTTAACAAAGTTGAACAAAACCAAAGATAAACGATGACATTGTTTGCCACAGCCTGCTTGAATATAGTGATTATGTCGCCACAAAAACAAGTTGCAGAATTACTTTCTCGGGGTGCCACACTTCTAATGTCACTGAGTATATTTGGATTTCATATTAATTTCACAGCATCCGCGTATTTAGCGGCTGTTGAAACTAAACCCTGCTGTTTTGAGTTATCGAATATTCAGCACCACATGTGGAAAATATAGATATCAGGAGATTTGATCTGTAGAACGCACTTCATGTATAAAATAAACAGACTGTTAAAAAAGAGTTCTTTAATAAATAAAAACAATACATAAATAAAATTAAAAGTAGTAAAAAAACTTTAATATATTACTCTGCAATCTAACAAAAAATACAACTATTGAGTAAGAAGCAGTCTATCGGTAGTATAATAGATATCAAGTGACTTTTGGCACAACATAAAAAACCTGCGGAAGACTGAACTCATACATTTTAAACTGAACATTGTTTGGTAATCAGCAAAGTACAATCACGACATAAACCTAAAGGTCACATATGAAAATACTAAAAAAATAAGTGAAAGAATTTACCAAATCACATTCTCTACATATATATCATATATCTTATTCGTTGAAAATAAAACCTCAAAAATATCATTTTAGCACCAACGGACTTTCAGGTCAATTCTTCTCGATGTTAACAAAACAAGCTATCTAAACAAAGTAATATCTAAAGTTTTTCCTTATAAATTTTCAATGTTCACATTAAGTTTACCTCAACTTCAGTCAATTGTAACAATTCATCTTACCCATCTGCATAAAATCTGTGTGTGTGTGTGTCAAAATGGTTACAACTAAAAATGTGACACTTTGATTTCCCAAATAAAAACTCTCCTTTTGAGTTCCACACCTTTTGAAATAAACACCAAAATTTAAGTATCCAGAATAGAGACCAAGACTACCTGGATATTTATCTTGCCACATTTTGATTAATTTTTTTTAGAATATATTGTGCATATTTGAAATATTAATTTCGACATTTTTAATCCACATGGTGCAGGAAAAACTGAAAAAGCTCTTTTACCCTGCACCATCTATTATTCTCACCTGAACAATCCATAAAACATTTGTACTTATTCTATGCTAATAACCATCTCCAAAACTCAGCAAGAAAAATTCAGAATACTTTGACCAATGTATCTTTCACTTGTAAATACTTTTTGGCATCAGAATAATCGCTGCTTTATATTCTTCGCAATAGCTTCAGCTCGAACAAACGTCTCATGTTACATCGAGAAAAATCGACCCTAGGCACAAAAATACTGAATTTTACTACTAGACCTGTATGATGGAGTCTTCGTCCATGATCTCATTGGAATTGAGTGGATCTCCGGAGCTGCCGGAGGAATTTGGGCTGAGAGTGTTAATGGTAGTGGTAGTTTTGCTTTTGATTCTTTCGTAACCGGGAACATCTGAGTCCTCAGTATCGTTGTTCAATTGCTCATATGGAGGCTCCGTCCGCTCAGATAATGACTTGCTCACACCTGCCGAGCCTTCTGAATTATCGTTGGCTTCTACCCCTGGAATCAAATAAGTTTAAGTTTATAGAATTGAACCTAGAATACAAAGGCAGACGAACTCGCTAGAGAAAGCAAGATCAAGAATCTAACAATTCCAAGTAATAAAAACGGCCTCAATTTTCCTTTGAAAATAATTGTTTACTCTTAAGCATGGTATTATCCTTTAAAGGAAAGATCGCCCTTCATCCTAACTGGTGATAATTCCAAAGATTGCGAATGATTAGAATTTCTCGACAAAGCACGGAAAACGAAAATCCTATAGTCTGCAGCAACAGTCCGAGATTTGGCAATGCTGAAGCCAATAAATGGTCTGTTATATAGTTGTATGCGTAAGTGGTAGGCGGTTCCACGGTACGTACGCGTATTTTTGCACAGGCGCGGCTTTCTTTTGGGTTAGGTATCTTCTGTTAGAATATTAGTCAATATTAGGCAGGATGGAAAGACATTTTGGAAACGTGGAACAATGAGGTACAAACGATGTTACATACGACTTTATCAAGAAAGATATAATAATAATAATAGTGATAATGATAATAGAAGAAGGAGGTCGTGGACTACAACTGGAAGCTTCAATATTAAACCTGAATTATTATTTAAACAAAGCACATCTCACAGTCTTGTTTGACTATTGAGAAGTTGTGACCAGCATATCCCTAGTCTCCATAACAAAAAAAGCTGATAACAAATTGTCAAAACTATCACGATCATTTGAGAACACCATTAGCTCAAATAAGTTCCAAGTTAAAAACTGACTATCTAAGCATATAGAAAATAACTGGAAAAAATAAGGCTATATGCACGGGCAATATATTAGAGACACAATCGATGGATGAAAAGGCATCATTTAGCTGGTTGAACGCGCCACATCTGAAAGGTGAGACAAAACGTCTTGGTGTGACAGCCCAGAATCAAGTCATTAATACCAGATACTTTCTAAAAAAATATCCTAAGACAAAATGTTGATCAAAGATACATGTTCTGTCAAAATGCAGACGAAACTATTGGACAAATAATTTCTGCCTGCTCTTTGTTGGCTGAGAGAGGATATAATGAAAGACATGAAAATGTTGCTGAGTTGCAATACCATAAAATGTCAAGCACTTAATATAGACGTAACAAAGAGATGGTACGAACTTCAGCCACTAACAGTTACGGAAAAGATCATGTGACAGTTTTATGGAATCAAGGCATCCGTACTGATTGTCACATATTAGCAAATCAACCCGATACAGGGCAGAAGATAAGAAGAACCATCAACTTGTTTTATATCCTTACTTCAGTATATTATGTTAACCTATTTTTGTAACTTGTGAGAAATAAAGAATGATAATAAAAATAGGATTTGCAGCTATAAGAACAAAAACAATAAGAATTGCACTGATATACTAAAAAAGCAGCTGCAAAAAGGACTAGTAAGCAGTCTTAAGACTGATCAAGAGGTACCAGCTCTGACATCATACACATTAAAATATCACATGGTAATTGCAATTAACTATCAAAATATACTAATAAACAAAAATAAAAAAACGAGATAATATGAAATAATCTACTTCATTTACACTAGCAGGTTAAGCAATAAATACTTGTACACCCAAGAAGAGAAGCATAAAAAACGCCCTAACTGGGTTCAAGGAACTTTTTATATTTAGATTTGCTAGTTGATTTTGAAGCTTTTTCGATAGTTTATGGGAACTTGGTTGTACAATCGAAAAAATTAAGAGACAGGCCTAGTGACGATAGTTGATTTATGTGATGACTGTGAAATAAAGCCTGTAAACCTAACATAAAAATTATATATTTCGGATCTCACATTTTAGTATTTACCTTTCCTTCGTATCCTCTCGTACCCAGAAATATCCGAACTAGTTTTACTGAGGTCTTCATCCAGCCTCTCATAAGGTGGTTCGATCAAATCATCCACACTCTCGTAGTTCGGATCATGCTTATCTACAGTTTCGTAGTTAGGATCCGATTCACTACCGTTTGACTTCAAAGCCGAATAGTTCGGCTCTGACGTCGGCATGCTCTCATAGTTCGGCTCATCTGCAAAAAGTCAAATAGTTTACTAGTGTATGTAATATCATACAAAAAGATTTTACATGGCTAGAGCAACATGATCTTAACAACTTCTGTTAAAACTCCTTGAGAGTGCTTTTTTCGGGTCCTTTAGCTGTAAAATATAACAACCCACTCACAAGTTACACCATAATATCTCAACTATTTGTTAGGAATTTTTCTCACTAAAATCAACTGGATAGCAACACGACCTCAACACGGTTTCGACTTCAGTTGCATTGCTACTGCTTTCTCGTCAAAGCAATTGCCAAGCAATTACCAGTATCGCTTCGAGCTTTTAAATAAAAACATTGATTATATCGTGCTGTTAAGAGGACGGTATATATGCTCATATGGTTCTTAAACGCCCTGATTGAAAGAAAAATCCTATGAGTATGCTATGTGATATTCTAAAATTTACAAAAAAAACGTCGTAATTACAGGGTGAGTTTGATGTAACATACTAGAAAGTTTTATCTTCAAATTGTAGAGATACTGGACAATCTTTCGAAGAAAATCAACGTTGACATCTCACACCTCCGCAACTGATAGGACTAGGGTTAATGAATTTTTCGTCAAAAAAACAAGTATGATCCCATATTTTCTCCCTATATATTTACATTTAAAATTTTAAAACGAAACACTTTATATTTTCAAATCGTTTGATTCTCCTTTCCAGAAGCATTCTTTTGAGATAAGGTTTTTGAGTTACACCCAATGAATTTGGACTAGGTCGGTAGAACGAGCAAGCATAAGATTTGTTTTTAATTAAATTTATGTAGCCAGTAGTCAGGATGCAATTTCATACTACAAGTCGATCAGGCTTAAACCGCTAGTTTCACATTTGTTGACGATTAACATTAAATTCTTATTTTTCTGCGAAAACATCAAAATGTGTAGGTAAAATAAAATCCTAGTGTTCCAAATAATTGCACAAAATGGTAAAGGTTCCTGTGGAATGCAAAAAACAGATTAAACTGAATAAAAGTAGACCTTTTCATCAATAATAATATATTACTAGGGTAGTAAAAAACAGTAATACAAAGCGATAGTCATCAGTGTTTCAACAGAGCATGTACATCAACATTAGGCTTTTACATGGACAGTTGTGAGGTAATTTCGGTTTATTTGATTACACATTTCTTTGAGTCCCCAGTCCCAATCTCTTCGAAATATGTTTATTGGATAAATATAGTGGCATCCAGGCATTTGCTTTTAGCCAATAATATGCACAGATCACAATAACTATTATTCAAGCAAATTTAAACAAAGGTAAACAAAAACATAGATAAAACGACAACATTGTTGCCACAGCACGCTTTAAATACAGTCATTATGTTGCCAAAAAAAAAACAAGTTGAAGAAATTATTTTTTCTGGGTGTAACACTTCTAATGTCACTGAGTATATTTACTCTAATTTTTTTACTTATTTAATTTATCCGTGTTTATTAGCAATAACTGATGCGATTCACATCACAACACAAATAGTATTTATGCCCAGCTGTACGTCAGTAGTACACCCAGTATGATTGACTACCTGATTAATCCTCTCCAGAGAAAAAAATGTACTTCGGTGTATTGGTTTGGCACTTTTGTAGGCAATTGTACGCAATTTAGCCAAAAGTAGATACTAAAGTATACAATTTTGGCGACAAACAATGCAATGTATTGCAAAAATATAGGTCATCTTATCTATTTGAATTCATTGGTTACAGTTAACCTTCTTGCAAGCTGAATATCAATGTAGGACTTGCTATTTAGAAAGGCGTATATGATGGTCACCACATAGTTATAAATCACCCTGGAGTGATAAAAATATTTTTCACGTAAAAAGCTTACAACAGTATGCTACACTTTTGTAATTTATTTTTACAGACACCACGCGCAATAACGGAGTTATCAACCGACTCCGTAGTAAAAATTTACCCTGTATGTGCAATCAAAGACCTGCGAAAAAAATCGCCTTGTATGCACAAATTTTGTTCCAGTCTGATCATCACTCCTAAAATATTGACTTCACACAATGTTTGTATCAAAGGTACCTCTCCTGGATGGTTTTTGACACTGTTGCTTCAACTAATTCATTGAAAGAAAACAAAAACATGATACAGAGGAACCTTTAACCGATTATAATCAATTAGTTTTTGAGAATTCCACCGAAACGTTATCTGAAGTGACAAATACAACTAAGGAACTAAGGGCAAATGCAAACCGATTAGCGCCGATAATGCTAGAAACCGTGTCATCACGTTGCCATTTTGTTGGTGAGAAGGTGTGTATTTGAATACAAGTGCCGAGTTGGGTTGCAGTTTGCAGTTGCTTTTGGTGAGAACAGTCGCTTAAGTACTCCACAAGGATCAGATAATAGGTGGCTTACCTATGGCTCCATTGTCAGCATTGTATGCGGGTAAAGTTGATAACTTCGTTTTTCTCTTATTAACTACGGAATATCCGTCATTAATATCCTTTTCTTTAATTCTAGAGTAACCAGAACAGTCACTAGCGTTTGACGTTCTGTGTCTCAGCTCCTCATAGTTTGGATCCGACTCGGACGGTAATCTATCTTTTAATACTTCATAACCTAAAGACAATAAATAAGATACATTATTCAAGCAGTCGTACTAAGTTGAAATATATTGGATATTGGGTTTCTGGATATTATTTCACATCGTTAGATAAAATAAAATTAAATTTATATGCAGTGTGTCCCAGATTCGCTCCTGTTACAGCAAAGTTTTAGAGCAGGGCTGTCCCACTTCAAAAAAAAATGCAGTTTGGAGGGCCGCATTATAAAATCTTTCTATACAAGATTATTACAGAGTTAATGTAAGAATTGTGCATATTCGGTATTTGAGAGTAATTTATATATGTGATGTATACATGACCCGTGAAGCGGGCCCTATGTTGGACAGCCCTGTTTTAGAGGAAACTTAGTGCTTTCGATAGCCGGCTTCAGATTTAGGATCGGTCAATTGGTTTTGAAAATATCAGCGAAAAACCGAAAATGGCGGAATTTGTTTTTTGCCCGTTCATCCAAAACGGTTAATTTGACAGCTGTCAAAATGTGACATTATTCGGAAATTTTTTTGAGAAAACTAAGATAGCATGTAAGACATGTCTCAATCGTCTTTTGTTTTCCAGCAATCCGCCTCAACTTTCATTTTTCTTATGGACGCCATATTGGATTTTTAATTTTTTAAAAGAGTGTAAAATTTCCAGTCTAGTAGTAGTAGTAGTAGAAAGATTTATTTAGCACATTTGGCTACATAAACAGAATAATTGTAAACAACTTAGAACTAGTAAATTCAAGCCATATGGTGTATGATGTAAATGCTGGGCAACCTATAATTGTAGATTTAACAAGTGATTTCTCAATTTTACTTTAAATTTTGTCAAAGTTTTCTGGTCTTTTATCTCCGAGTATAATTTATTATATTCAATCAACCCTTGATGGAATAGAGATTTGTAGCATATGTTATACTTTTTGATCATTAAATGGAAGTCATCTTTATTTCTGGTATTATGTAAATGATAGTCGACATTTGATGATGTTAAATTAGTTAGACTTGATGGAAATATATTATTTTTTACTTTATAAATGAATATCATTACAAGATATTTGATAAAATTTGTTACATTGAGCCATTTTAATTTGCTAAGCATTTGCCTAATTGGAGTATATTTATCTTTATTTAGTATTATTCTCATGCACTTATTTTGTAAAATTTGCAGTCTTTCAAAAATGGAATTATTTGCTAAATATAGAATAGTCGAACAGTACAAGAAATTTGTAAGTATGATGGTATTATAGATAATTTTTCTGCTATATGAACTCAGACATCCAGAAACTCTCGATAAATATCCCACTTTACTACCAATCTTATTTATAACTTTTTCATAATGAATATCAAAGATTAATCGAGAGTCAACAAAAACCCCCAGGTATTTAAAATTTTCTACGAATTCAATATCTTCACCATCAATATTCAGTTGAACATTTGTACATTGTTTTTTCCGATTAACAAGGCTTTCGTTTTACTTGCATTTAATTTTAGTCTGTTAGATGCTAACCATTTTGAGACAAGCTTCAAGTCTTCATTTATATAAGAGATACCAGACTGAATATTTTTAGTACTTATATAAATCATAGTGTCATCGGCGAAAATCTGAATTTTGCATTTTTTGACTATGGCAGGTAAATCATTTATGTATAAAATAAAAAGAAGTGGTCCCAGGATACTGCCCTGTGGAACACCCAACGTATTTTCAATTTTTGATGAAATAGTGTCATTAACTTTTGTAACTTGCATCCTTTTAGACAAATAATTTTTAAACCAATCTAAAACACTTCCTGTTATACCATATGTCTTCAATTTACCTAACAAAATATCTCTATCAATCGTTTCAAATGCCATCTTCAAATCCAAAAATACTGCTATGACAACTTCTTCTGAGTCTATGGCTCTTCTCCAATTCTCAGTTACCAACTGCTTCTCAGTGAACAATTGATCCAATTTAATACAGGATATCCCAAAATTTCGAAACAGTTTTTCAGCACGTTTTTAGTAGTGATTTCGGCACAGTTGTTATTTGATGTTAAACTGTATACTTTTCTTCTTAGATAATTCAATGATACGCTGTGAAATTTTGAAAGTGTATGCAACATTTCCCCCTGGAAACTGATTTTCATATAGTCAGGTACAGCATTGGCAGTACCCACAATATCAACAATACTTTCCACAAAATATTCATTTAGTTTGTTTGCAATCACCAAAGAATTTGTTTCGGTACCGTTTTCGAATTGAACTTGATTTACACAATCATGCGGCTTCGAATTGATCAGTCTTTTTAAAGTCTTCCACATCTTTACACTGTCGCACTTGTTATTATCGATTTGTTTATCGTAGAATTTCTTTTTTTCTTCTCTAATTACATATTTTGTGAATATACATTTATTGTATTGTTTGTCTCTCAAATTTTGAGCTGCCTTAATATTCTTGTTATACCAGGGTGTATTTTTTGTCGAGCAAATCACTTTTTATCAGTTGCAAGACCTAAACAAGTTTTTATATGTTGTCATATATTTTTTCCATATTCTCACCAAAATTCCAACAGCAGCCAGCAAGTTCTCGTTCAAGTTTTTCGTACTTAATAGTATTTACGATTTTCTTAATTTTTGTATCAGAAAAATGCCCTACCAAGGGCAGCATTGTCCAACTGTGATCGCTAACTTTAGGTGTATGTACAGCTTTAATCCCTGCACATTCGAAATTTACAATAACAAGATCTAACAAAGTCTCTGATAATGATGTTATTCTGGTACTCTCTTCAATTTTTTGCATGAACCCATAGTTGTTTATGGTTTCTTTCAATTTTCTTGTTTTCATGCTTTTACCATAATAATTTAAATTAAAATCACCTAAAAGTATTATATTGTTTCTAAAATTCCACATTTCTTCGCATTTTTCTTCAAAAAACGTTAAAAATGTATCCGCATCACTGTTTGGTGAACGGTAAAAAGTACAAAGATCATAACGTTTCCCAAATAATTTGAACTGTATATGTGCATACCAGTATACATAGTCTAAAGTGGTACAATCGAATAATGTGATCTGTATTTTGTGGTAAATATAAATCATTACACCTCCAGTATGTCTTGAGTTGGAGTTGCATCTGTAGGTTTTATAATTAGTAATTTGTAATGCACCATCAGTTATGTCTTCTGTAGCATGTGTTTCGGTAAGACATAATACAAGTGGTTTTCTCCATCTTAAAAACTGTTGAACTTCATCTGTATTATTCAAGACTCCTTGTATGTTTAAATGGTATATTGAGTTATATTCATCACTTACAGATTTAGCCACGTCTTGCAAATCTGATCTTAGTAGTTGCTATTCATTTGCATAACTAATGTTTTCCCTCTCACGTTCAATTTTCCTTTTATATACTTCACAATTTTTGTCAAATGGTCCATGATTAATAAGTAATCCTAGATTAAAATCCTGGTTTGCACTTTTACAATTTGGACAGCATTTGTACATTTCACTGGTACTGCAGTTTTCTGTTGAATGTCCTTCTAATCCACAAGTAATACATCTTCCTGATTTTGTGCAGTATTTAGCTGTGTGGTTAAATCCGGTACATTTATAGCATCGCAAAACATTGATGTACTCGAAAACAGAGCAAACAGACATGTCGATAAAATTAACACCCTGAATCATAACACACTTAAAAGTCACAGCATACACTTCTAAAATTGCTTAATATTTAGTTTTCATTTTCTTGACTGTAATTACTCTCATATGTGAATTTTCTTGAAAAGATTCATTTTGTGATTTTATAGTATTTATTAGCTCGTCTTCTGCATATTCTTGACAAAATCCAATAACCTTGATTTGTGGTTTTTTACTTATCTCTGAAGTTTTCACTGTATATGTTTCTGGCATTTCTGATTTTATTTCTTTATGTAGCTTCGCGTTATCATCTTTTGTTTTACATTGGATTTTCACCCCACCTTCCTTCAATTCATAAACTTTTTCAATAGCAATTTTCAAACTGGTAGGATTCACAAATTTTGCGATGTCTTTCTTTGTGTTATTACACTCTTGTTGGTTATTAGGCTTAACAATGACTGTATTTGTGGGTTTTAATATTGGTGATTGTTTTTTTGCTGTACGTGTTTGCAATGGTAAGCATTGCTGCTTATATTCTACCATTGTTGTAGGCGAATTAACGGTTGAAGGCCCTGAAGCTTTAACCATATCAGCGTAAGTTGTAATTGCTTCTTGTGACGGCTGTTGCATCTTCCCAATTTTTTTGTTTAATTGATCTATCTTTTCGTACAATTCTTTTATTAATTTCTCTTGAATCGAAATAATAATAATAATAATAATAATAATAATAATAATAATAATAATAATAATAATGTTTATTTATATTAGAATCAAAATACGAGCAAATAATATAACACAAAAAAAAATAATACTCCAAAGGGCTGGGGATTGGCATAGCCATTTTTCACCCCCGCCTGAATAGCTAAGGTAAATTCATTAAGTACATTACTACTATATATCTTACTAGGGTATATCATATACATTACATAAAGGATATTTGGTTGACTATAATAATGCTAACAAAACTTTAAAATATAATAAGATTAATAATGAGATTTATTCAGCCACTTGTGGATTCATTAAATTGTAACTGCAATAGCATTCTTTTGAATTCTCTTTTGAAGCTGTGAATGGACGTTAATTCAAAGAAAATAGTATAATCTTTTAGTTTCAAAACTTCCTCTGTACAAAATCCCTTTTCACTCAGTGAGACCTCACTCTCCACTCCCTCACTAGCTCCATCCTTTGAGTTTTCCTCCATATTCAAACTAAAAATTCAGGAATCTCCTAAAAACCTTTTTTTTGCTTGACCTAATTTTTGACATTAGAAGTCAAAAAAGTATTTCCAGAATTAATTTTCTGCAGGGGACCTCCTAGCTTACGTCACGCAATTGTAGAGTAAACTTATCCAGTCTTATGGTGAGGGTCATGTCGTTACCCTTCATATCACGAAAGAGTTCGATCAGCTGAGGCTGCCCTCTTATGCAAACTTCCATCCTATGACCTCCCAGAAAAGCTTTACAGATGGGTGGCTGACTTTCTCTCTGGCCGCAAGATATCCGTCGTAATTGACGAGTTCTCCTCTTCATCCCACAACGTCAACGCGGATGTTCCCCAAGGATCGGTCTTGTCTTCGACACTGTTCCTCTTACATATCAACGACCTTCTTTCTTGCACGGCCAACCCAATCCACAGCTTCGTTTCAATGTATGGCCGATTTCTGCCAAAAAGCCGTTCACTTCGGCTGGTCGGAGTCCAGATCATCGAGGACTGGCACGAACACATCTAGTCAATATGGCGGCAGCTGCTGGGAAAAAGTTAGGCCAGGGCTGTCCAACATACGGCCCGCGAACTCCTTTCTTGCGGCCCGCTTCACGGGTCATGTATACATACAGGGTGACTTCGAAGTTGAGTCATTTATTTTAACAGTGAGTAGATCTGATCAAAAGAAATGTTTTTTTCCTTTACCATTTTCCTGGTAAAATTAAAGTAACAAAGTTATAACCCTTTGGAAGTTTGAGTACCGCCCTGTCTCAATAACAATATTATGTGGTCGTGTTTGGCGACAATGGATATAATCCGCCGTATCGGTTCATCGCATCGGAAACAAAAAAAAAGCGAAAGAATTTGGAACGATGTTTTTACAGGTATCTCATTCATTTGTATACAGTTAGTGTCAGTGAATAGTGGTATGTGTTGCGTGGCTCAAACGAAATAAAAAATGGCACATGTTTATGCGGATCGGTTTCCCAACCGAGTGCAACCAACCCCTCGTGCCTTTGTTAATGTAGTACAACGGGCTTGTGAATCAGGTGACTTAAGACCTCACAGGGGACCTCACGATCAAATACAGGTCCGCACTGAAATACTTGTCGGGAGGATACTTTATAAAACAAGGTAAAATTTTTTTTTTATTTTTTCTTTATTTTTACACACATATTTTGGTTTATCTTCCTTCTACAATCATTATCTGAAAATTAATGACTCAACTTCAAAGTCACCCTGTATATGTATACCATATATACCTATTAAAACTCAGTAATAATGTTGTATAGAAAGATTTTATAATGCGGCCCTCTAAACTGCATTTTTTTTTGAAGTGGCCCTTGGGCCACATTAAGTTGGACAGCCCTGAGTTCTCACTCTATACAAGGCCCAGATAAGGCCTAGCCTCGAGTATTGCTCATACGTTTAGGGTGCTGCCACCCCAACTATACTATTTATGCTTGATGCTGTCCAGAGGAGGGCTGTCCGACTGATCGACGACTCTTCCCTAACAGACAGACTCGCCTGACTTTGGCCTCCCATCCTAACTGTGTCGAACTTCCTACATTCTGAACTGGCCAATACGACCGCACCTTTATCCCGAGGGTATCGAGATTGTGGAACAATCTACAAGAGGAAGCTTTTCCCAGTTCTACTATCCTTAGGCAGTTCAAAAATCGGATTAACAAAATTTCTTTGGGATCCTCATAGCAGCCGCGGTATCCCGGCATTTAGGCTTCTGCCTGCGCGGCTCCTTCGGTATAAAAAAGAACTAAACCTGAATTATTCTTAGATATGAGTAAAAGTTTTATTTGAAGAAACGTGGAATAGGTACTTCTTACTTTTCGAGTTTTGCTGCGTCTTGTTTACTTTTTGTTTTTATTTTTTTAATGTTTATCTGAACGCTCCATAGACCATATTTTTATGAAAAAACGTAGTAAAAAAATTACGCAAATACAGTAAATACACTACTTCACTGACGGTAGACATTTACTGAAGAAAAATCCTTTGATGGTGGGTTAATAACTTTGGGTAATTCTTTGATTTGCACAAGTTGTGAGTATTGCGTTCAGACCGAGTAATTACCCGGCCAAGTAATTGAATACTCGGTGAAACCGGGTACTCGGTAAAATATGCCGATTACCGGGTTCAAACCGAGTACTCGGTGCATCCCTAATGAAGAGCATACAAAATACTGTCATTTTAGATTCCTACTCGGCGTACTATTTTCTTGAGTGTATCAAATGTGGTAAGAAATTACCTGGATCGGAGCTGGAAATACTTTCTGGTCCATTAATACTGGCATAACCTGGTTCCTCGTTACCTTTTATCTTCTCGTAACCTGGATCACTCGTTCTTCTAGGTTTCCTCAAAGTCTCATAGTTGTGCTCTTTCCGTAGTTTGATTTCCTTACTTTCAACGTCTGCCTTGATAGGAATGTTGTTTCCTGGCAAAGTCGATCTAAAGCCAAAATAAATTACTCTTGAATTAAGGTATTTCTGATTGTGTATAGAAAAACAAATACGGGTAATTTCCAACAGCGCATTGCAAATATTGTAAGCCCATAAAAAGTTCCTATTTTTTTGTACTTGAATACTGTTGGTCTACTGTAAAATACCTGTCTGAGTGTCCATTGCTACTATCTCCATTCGCCTCATCTTTTTTGGTTTTATGCACCTTAGCATAAAGATCATCCAAATTCCTACTTATTTGTGGCTTATCACCGGCAGCATGGAAGTCAAAGCTACATGCTGTTGGTGGAGGTGGTAAAGGTGAGTTGGCTTGACGTTTTTCTGGTTTCGGCGAACCGAGGATTGTTACTGAACTAGATGATGAAGCTGTAAAAAAGTAACATCATTATAAAATGGAATTCAAAAGAGTAAGTCGCTGTTTCCACAAAAAGCAATTGGCAATCTCAACGGAACTTGGTGCTTGTACAGGCTGGCCCATCCATGTGTGGACGGAATATTACTCAAAAACAAATACATTTGAGAAAATCTATTTATGGGATGTTATACATGACATTTGAGGGTATATTTCTAAAATATTGGCCATTATACAGGGTGTGCCAATTTCGACCTACATATCAAAGTTGTGATTTTTCAAATGGAATGCCTCAAATTTTATTGGATATTTGGATAAACCAATTCAAAAGAAGAAAATTGATATAACATACTATGGGGTTTTGGTAATTAGCTACTGACATATAAGGTGTTTTGTCTAGAAAGACCCCCCCCACTTCGGCAACCCTTCAGTCCGCCATTTTGAAATTTGGAGAGCTGAATTTTGTATCAAAAAAACTTACACACGTCAGCTTTTATCTTATTTGTTACTTTCTCGAATTTTAATTTTTGCTCATGCAGATTGTATTTTTTCTCAAAATTTCAAATGCATCACCCTGTATACTTGTACAAGTTTGGATTCAATTTCTTATAAGCTTTTTTTTGATACTAGACACATAAGGGTTTTTACGGCTATTTTTCGGTTATTAGCACGTCTTCTATGGAACGGCTTAATTCTATAAAATATCGCATTCATCCTTGGAAACAAATGAATTGTTGATTAGTTACAAACTGTCAAAATTAGCTTTGTGAGCATTATAATAAAAACGTGTTTGAAAATGAATTTTTCTAAAGAAGAAATGGTGAATATGATGTTCGTTTTGGGCGAAGCCCAAAGAAATAGTTTCCTAGCATCTCGCATTTATAAGCAACGGTACCCTAATATGCGACATCCAAGGCCAGAAACATTTTCCACACTACGAGAACATTTTGAATCAAGTGGAGCAGTGGAACATAGTAAAAAATGTATAAATAATCCAAGTGTCACCAATGAGGCGAATCAGTTGGAGGTTCTATCAAAGTTGCAGGAAAATCCCCATTTAAGTACACGACAAATTGGAGCAGACACTGGTATATGCAGAACCTCTGTCCAAAGGATTATTCACAAGCATAGGTACCATGCATATCACCTATGCTTGCATCAAGGCCTTCATCCTCAGGATTTCGCAGCTCGAATGGAGTTTAGTAGAATAATGAAATAAAGTGGGTGAAGACACTACTTTCCTGGATAAGGTTCTTTTTAGCGATGAGGCAACTTTTAACAGCATAGGTGTTGTCAACAGACGTAACATGCACTATTATGCAAAGGAAAACCCTTACTGGGTTAGGCAAATAGATTTCCAAAATAAATGGAGCATGGATATTTGGGGAGGAGTTATTGGCAGACAAGTTATCGAGCCTTTCTTTTTCGACAACAGATTAACAAGCACAGAATACTTGAATTTTTTTATCGAGCATTTGCACTGCTTTTGGAGGATGTCAAACTCTAAACTCGGATGCATACATACTTCAAACATGACGGCGCACCTATGCAATATCATAATCGTGTGCGTAACTATTTGGACACCTGGAGTAACAATCGTTGGATCGGTCGTGATGGGCCTATATCTTGGCGTCCTAGATCGCCAAATATGACACCGATGGACTTCTTTCTATGGGGCTACGTTAAGCAAGAGGTTTATAGATATCCACTATCTACCCTAGAAAATATGAAGGAAAGAATTAAAGATTGCTTTTATGAACATAAGGGAACACATGCTGTTGGATGTGCAACGGTCATTTATCCAAACTCTACGGCTGTGTATTCAACATGGTGGAGATATTTTCGAGCAGTTTTTGTAGATTAGGTCCTGAGTAGTGGTAGTTGTTTGTTTATGTTGTTGTTATAGTTGTTTTCTCTATTATGCTTGAAGCTGATTTATACTGTTCTGATTGTTATTAGTTTTTTACGTCAATCTGTACTCTTAGTGGCAATATGGAACTAGCCGACTGTCTTTTTTTCCATGGATGATGTGATTTGTTTTCTTAATTTTGGTGTGTTGTTCTATTAAAAGCATAATAACTCAAAATCTAGTGATTTTATCTAAATCAAACCTTATACCAAAAAAAGCTTATAAAAAAATTGAATCCAAAACTTGCACAAATATACAGGGTGATGCATTGAAATGTTTGAGAAAAAGTACAATTTGCGTTTCTGACCACCTTGTATGAGCAAAAATGAAAATTCGAAAAGTAACAAATAAGATAAAAGCTGAAGTGTGCAAGTTTTTTATACAACATTCAGCACTCCAAATTTCAACATGGCGGATTGAGGGGTTTGCCTAAGTGGACGGTTTTTTCTGGACAAAACACCTTACATCTCAGTAGCTATTACCAAAACCCCAATAGTATGTTATATCCCATCTTCTCCTTTTGAATTGGTTTATCCAAACATGCAATAAAATTTGAGGCCTTTCATTAAAAAAAACACACAACTTTGATATGTAGGTCAAAATTGGGACACCCTGTATAATTGCCAATATTTTAGAAATGTGCCCTCAAATGTCGTGTATAACATGCCATAAATAGATTTTCCCCAAAATGTATTTGTTTATGAGTAATATTCCGTCCACGCCTGGATGGGCCACCCTGTATTTACATAAGCACGCTCCCATCAGTGTAATGGCCAGGTGACCAGGTTATATGCATGGATGTAATCGGTTTACAGTGTTGAAACCCACTATGAAAGATGTCATGTGTGTATAAAATCCGTGATATTTGCTGTGCGAAAAAATCATTACTGAATATGCTGCCAATCATGTACATCTATGTGCTGTGGTCGACTGGTTATTTAAATGTTGTCCTTTCTGAAGACAGGTTATGTCCAAAGTTATAAATTACGATTTTCTATGATTTTTTTTTGTGTTTTCAAAACTGAGTAGAATTACGGAAAATCGCCACCGCGCCCGCGTTTGCGGTATTATATAATTATGTTAGCATTGTGTATGACTTGTAAATTCCCACAGTGTTCAGTGAATATAATTATTTTTATCTCTTTCATTTTAAATCAGCGAATTTGCTAATATAATTTCAGAATAGATAAGAAAAGTGGATAGGCTAGCTTTGAATCTCAAGTAAGTGTATCTGAGAAAAAGAAACCAATTGGAATAATCATCCAACACATATTATTAGCACACAAATCCTCACTATGCACCTATGCATGCCGTACTTAAAGTAATGCCATCTCTGAAGCAGATTTTAACATCACATCAGAGCCAAATATGATAACTGAAGCGTCATGACATTTAGGCAACCCGCACAACTACAAAACGAGTTAACAACGGTCCATCAGCTAGTGCTAAGTTCACGTCTTGTAGAAAAACATACACCTATATACAGGGTTATCAAATTAAAGTGTCCACCATTGGTAACTTTGTTATTAGTAAAATACAAAGTTAAATTAGCAAACTAGTAGCATTTTTAACGCTGGTAAAAATGAGAAATAAAAAAAACAATTGAGAGTCGTTATTTTGATTTTTTTCAGTAAAATAACATTTTTTTAAATGGAAACCCCTGTATATTATATTTTTTCTGTTAAAGCATCAAATTTTAAACAAAAAAGTTCATAATGACTTTTCCGCTAAAGTCAAAAATAAAGTCCAAAATAACGATAAATATTTTTTAATTATTTGCAGTATTATAATATTAAGACGGCTATGAAAACAACATGGCGTTCGCGATTTGACAGCATTAAGATAAGCGACAAATTGTTAAACTGGACATACTCGCAACTAGAAGGCTTTGGAAAACAATGATAAAATCAAATAATGTCAAACATTAGTGTAAATACTTGTTTATAAGCTTTATTGTGTCATTAATTTAAAGAAAATGTTCTCCCATGAAGAAAAGTGTGATATGTTAGAATGCTATTTAGTGTGCAGAAAATCCTCCTTGAGAGCAGTGAATTATATCCGCTCGCATTCAACCGTATGAACGATATTTTCTGAGACTTTATCGAAAATTAGGGGCAACGAAAATGTTTTTGCTAAAACAAGGCCAAAAAAGAATTCATAATAAGCGAGGCCACGGAAATTGCAGTTATTGGATATTTTGAAGCTTATCGTGAGAATTCAATAGCAGATATTCTCAAGGACTCTAATTTCAGTTATGGTACTGTTCAAAGGATTTTAAAAAAATACAAATTTATTCCGTATAAGTACCGACCAGTTCAAACGCTTTTGGCAGGGGATCCAGAGAGAAGACTTGTTTTTTGCCATTGGTATCTTAGCTTCTGTCGCCAAAATGTAAATAACTTTCGTTACCTTTTATGGACAGATGAATCAAATTTTTCAAATTCTGGAATGTTTAATAGAAAAAACCACCATTATTGGTAAGAGAAAATCTTTTGTTAGTACATCCAAGAGGCCCACAAGTCCGTTTCAGTTTCAACGTTTGGTGCGGTATAATTGGTTCAAAAATTGTTGGCCCGTTCTTTTATGAGGGAACCCTAACTGGTGAAAGATATGTGGAATTTATGTCAGAAATTCTGACTAATTTCTTAGACGAATTGGATCTTATAAGTAGACATCATCTGCATTTTCAGCAAGATGGCGCACCTGCCCACAACTCCAGAGGTACTTATCATTTTCTAAGTACTACTTTTAATGATCAGTGGATAGGAACAAATGGCCCAATACAGTGGCCTCCCAGATCACCAGATCTAAACCCACTTGATTACTTCTTGTGGGGTTACTTAAAGAACCAAATTTACAAGCGAAGGTACGATAACCTTGACGCGTTAAAGACTGCAGTTAGGGAAAAGATAACCCAGATAGATGGTAGGACCATACTTAAGACAGTTCGAGCAGTTGAAAAACGTGCCCAAAATGTATTGAAGAACAAGGTGGTGTTTTCGAGCATCTTCTTTAAAAAAATTGTTATTGTATTTTGTAAGATTATAAGTTGATGTTGAAAATAAAGTTTGTCGATACAATTTAATTGTTTCAGATTGGAGGCCATAACTTCAACAATTTGTAACCTAGGAGAAAAGTTATTGTAAGCTTTTTTGTTTAAAATTTGATGCTTTAACAGAAAAAAATATAATATACAGGGGTTTCCATTTAAAAAAATGTTATTTTACTGAAAAAATCAAAATAACGACTCTCAATTGTTTTTTTTTATTTCTCATTTTTACCAGCGTTAAAAATGCTACTAGTTTGCTAATTCAAACAACTTTGTATTTTCACTAATAACAAAGTTATTAATGGTGGACACTTAATTTGGATAACCCTGTATATATATAAATATAAGCTATAATACCGATTGGTCCTGCCTGAATAACGCAAGTGATGTAGATGGCGCATGTGATATTTTGTATTCCGAGCTTGCGAAAATTATCTTGTAAGTACAAGAAAATGCATCAAATAAATATCCACCATGGCTTGGTCGTGACATAATACATATTAAACATCAGAAGAAAGAACAGAGCAGAAAAGAACTACAGAAAGTATGGTAATGATGTTAATATCAGGTTTCAAGTCACTCCGGGATACCATCAGAAATCAGATTAAAACCGCTTACTAAGCATACATACAAAATGTTGAGGACATCATAGCTGCCGATCCATATACATTTGGGCTATTTTGTGAATTGTAAAAAAGGGCACCTAGGTTCCTGGAACTATGTTCTATAATGATAACACCTATGATACCCCTGAGGATATAGTCAATGCTTTTGCGCAGCATTTTGCTAGTGTATTTGTACAGTCTGGCACATCATATTTCAAAAACGTAAATTCGAATCCTAACAAACATCATTTCATTATGTCATATTACCGAAGAAAACTTTATTAATCATCTAACAAGTTGAAAAATAGAATGAGCTCCGGATACGATAATATTCCCAGTTTCTTAGTTAACGACTGAATAAATATCCTTGCTGCACCTATATCTGTCATTTTAATTTAATTTTAAAGTCTTGTATATACGCAAACAATTTGGAAAAGGACAAAAATTGCCCATTTTTAAAAGCGGACGTGCATCTGACATTTCAAACTACCGTCAAATAGCCATCCTTTGCAATTTCGGAAAACTATTCGAAATCATCCTATATGATAACAGTTACAGCTCTATTGAAGGAACCATAGTCAGTTATCAACATGGGTTTCATGAAAGGACGATCTACAACAACAAACTGAGCCTGCATTACTCAATTCATATCAGACTCCCTAAACAACAATCAGCAAGTTGATGTTATTTATACTTACAGAAGGCGTCTGATCAAATTGACTTTTACCTACTTCTGCCAAAACTAGGAGCAGCTGGTGTATCTAACGCTCTTTTAAATCTACTGAAATCACATCTGACTGGAAGAAAATTATATGCAGATTAAGGCGGCGGATCTATTCAATATAAGCTTACGTCAGGACTTCCACAAAGATCAAACCTTGGTCCCATGCTTTTTTTACTATACATCATTGACTTGTCACAAGAACTAAGTGCTATGCACCTCTTTTTCTCTGACGATTTGAGCATATTTTCGACCATACAGTTAGAAGATGATTGTTTATCACTTCAGAAAAATTAAACGCAGTTTATCCCGTAGTGCAGGGCCTGACTCTGAATGTCTCTAAATGTAACATTTAACATTTACTAGAAAACCAAGTGCTATCCGCTGCTTCAAAGATCATATTTCTAGTAGAGTAGCATCAGCTTCCAGGAGTCTGGGTTACCTAGTTAGGAATTGGTCATGATTGCTAACGTTGATAGCTTGAATATTTTGTATTTCACATTTATAAGAAGCAAACTCGAATACGCAGCACTAATATGGGCGCCAATCTACGAAAACTCGATAAGTCTAATTGAATCGGTACAGCGCAGAGCTGTGTATTACTTTTTTTTTAAATGCAATGGGTTTTACCCTCAAAAAGATGTCGACAATAATGTCTCATTAGATTTATTCCCTACCGATTCTATTAAGACGTGATATTTCTGCTCTAACTTTTCTGCATAAGTTAGTAAATGCAAAAATAGATTGTCCTGCATTCCTTAGACTAATTAATTTTAATCCACCTAGGTTACGAGTTCGCCATCACATCAAATTTGATTGTAGTTTAGATCGCACGAATATGTCGCAAAAAACACCCATTAATAGAATGTCTAAAACTTATAACACTATATGTGATAAATGGGACTTGATCTATTACAATATCAAATTAATATTAGAATGCTACACAGACAAAAATTTCATGCTAATCGTGCTAAGTAGCCAAACATGTTCAAAGCATAGCATATTTTTGTTTTTCTTAAATATTTACTTTTTAAGAACTTCCTGTAATTGGGTAACACCTGTTGGGAATAAACGTATTACATATTATTATTATTATTGTTATTATTAAAAGCACAATTTTGACGCTCCAGAAGGACTACTTTCTCCGAACGCATGTAACAGGTACCTCAAAAAAATTACCCACGGTAAAAGCGTTACAGAGCAGTGCAAAGTACACTCTGTAACAATCTTCGAACGCAGCCCAGCTAGTGCAAGTCGATCGCGAGTATCAGATTGCAGAGTGATAATCGCAATTGATTGTACGTTATAAGGGTGCCGATTGCAGTCTATAGTTCGTTTTGGTGAAAACGTCACCTTAGTTAAAACCGAACCACAACATGGCTTATGCCATCTGATGGAGGCTCCAGTAGTGAGAGGCATAGGATTCTGACTGGGGTGGCAATCCCCGTTATGCTGAACGGAGCCCCTCATATAACAAGGCCTTGAGGAAAAAAATAAGGCAGCCAACGCCAGCAAAGGGTAGTGCGCCTGCAGAACGCGACGACAGGATGTACTGCTTGTGGTGGCTGGTATCCCGCCAAGACAGCGAAAAAGCGCTCTTTGTTAGATGGCAGAAGAGATGGAATGCAACTGGTCATCTTGAATGGACTAGAAGGCTTATCCAGACATCTGACGACTCTGACAATAGTATGAGTACATATTTTCATTACAGCGCTACCCACCAAGCATTACCGTGGTGGGATGTGTAGAGAACGACTGAGGAATTTTAATGAATATGCTGTATTTACAGAGAATCTCGCACTTCAGCCAGGAAAGACCAACAGGGCAATATTGTTGAGCTTCCTGACTCAGAGTGGCTGTGCAACATTCCCGTAAACTCCCCCTCTCAAAAAAAAACACTACATGTTCACTCACCCTGCCTGGAATGTTGCGCCGTACTACCCGCCTGCACCGGTGCTGCGGCAACCGTACCACCCCCTCCTGGATGCGGCTGCCTATTGCCCGGAGGCGGTTCATACAGTTCGTCTATCGCCTCGTCGTCATCCTCGTATTCGTTAATTGCGGTGACGCTGCTGGTTGAAGGAGGCGCGTTAATTTCCGCTTCTACAGTTAGAGGGATGCGGGAAGCTGTCGCGTCGCCATTCGAATCCGGAATGGTGGTGTACACGTCATCTGAAGGTAAAAGGGATGGACTGTCAGGTGATAACACTTTCAAAGAACCAAAACGGCGGCACCAATAGAATATTTTCCCAGTGTACAGAAAATTAGTTCAGAGCTTTTTTATCCGGGATGAGCGAAATAATTGAACGTTTTTTATCTTGTCTCATGAACATAATAATTCAAAAACAATCTCTTAAAGTTAATTTGCCATCTGGAACTTTTCAGAGGAGTATCTAAACTTTGATTTATATACTTTAGGAACTGTTGTTCTGCCTTGTTTGACTATTATTCAAGAACATCAGTTTCAGAATATTGAGAAATGGTTGCATAACTCACCAGAATCATCTGAGACAGTCGAATAGTGCGGATCCATTTCTCTTTTTCTGATATTGATCTCTTTCGTTTGTGCGATAATATTCGCTAATGGTTCACGAACACTTATGCTGGTGTAACCCTCTGGAAAAAGAAATTATATAAGTTTTAATCCCAAAACCTGTAATTTTTGGTACTAGTGATAGGGCTCAATCTGAATGTTCCTAGGTCCTGCGAGTATAGCATTTGCTCCACTCCGCTTTGGATCATGAGAAATTGATGAACGTCATGGCAACTTAATAAAGTTAAATAAATGTAATTACGGGCGAATGTAATTACCGCTGCTACAAGTCTCTGGATGGAACTTATCATAGACGGAGCATACACCATATTCATTTTATAAAGGCACTAGCTGACCCGACAGAGCTGTGAACTGTAATGAATAATGAATAATAGAAGGGTAAATGTATGGAATATAGGTAATTGTAAAGCGTTTGAAGGGGGCATCACAAAGTACAGATGGTAAAGAAATGTAAGTAAAAAACGAAAGGATCGTGTTTTCATAACCAATTTTCTCTCAAATAGCTAACTGTCAATAGCTGTTGGAATAAAGATAGCGGAGAGCAGTTCCTGTCTCTTTTGGTACTTGAGATTGGAGATATTTCTTCTGCTGTGCATGCTCCATGCTCAAGCAAACTGTCAAACGCGCGTAGCCTTCCATACAGCATTAGGAAACTTAAAAAAAGGATGAATGAAATCGGTAAAGTCGTTCTCAAGCTATGGCGTGACCACGCGAAATAGGGATTCATTTATATATATATATATATATATATATATATATATATATATATATATATAGATTCATTTATGAGAATTTGCCACAACTGTTCCTCCTCTCTGCACTAATTAAAATTTTCATTTGAAAATGTTAGTGCATCATCCAGCCTTGAACGCAGAATATAGTAACAAAATAAATAAGGCCCAGCATGTCGTTGAAAAAACAGGTATTTTTAAGCTATGTCGTTTTTCATTTAATCATCCCTCGTAAAATGAAGTGCACTGAAACAAAAGCTATGTTCCAGTCCTTTAGGTGCAGGCTCAATGAGGGGAAGAGAAGCGAAATTCTTCCGCTGGGTTCCGCTTCACATAATCTAATGACAGCCCGCCTACTGGAGCATCTCGAAGGGAAGCGGCGTGTCACGTATGACACGAGCAAATGAAGCCGAGATTCCTTTCGCGTCGCTTCTCCTCAATGTGGGTGTGCGTTTAGGGCCCTTTCCAATGGGTCATACTTACTTGAGGAATCCTGTGAGTCCCCGCTAAAATTCACCTGCTGCTGATGATTTTGCGCCTGCGGCTGTTGGGGCACCGGCGGTGTCATGTATGCAGCTCGGGGCTTGCCGCCAACACCCCGGCCACCGCCGAGGCCGCCGGGATCACGTCGGGCATCACAGAGCCCCCCGAATGCGAAGAAGACCTTCTGGATCTGCTAGGAGCAGTCGGCTCTGCGGTGGACGGCGCCGGAACGCCTGGTTGTAGCTCGGATCTGCAGGGAGAAAGATAATTTTTTGATCGATCTTGTTGTAGTACAACAGTTATTTTTGTATGAAGATCTCAAAATGCTTCTTTGCCAGATGTACGACCTGAAAATTATCCTGTGGTTTTCATGCTGATAGGACTGCATGATTATCTGACTGCAAAATGAAACTACATATGTATTATGTTTGAATTGCTTCTTTAGTTTCGGCCACCTTGGTGGTCAATCATGGAGTGCCACTTTGGTTGATTACAATAAAAAATATCATCAAGTAAGTTGCCTCTGTGCTTCCCACGCGACGCTGTCATTAGTTCGTAAAGAATTATGTTTGGCACTCATGAGAAAACTTTAGCTACAAATATGTGTAAAAATTAAATGGCTTTCACCGTCTCCCCGAGACAAATTCCTGTGGGCGCTCATGGTCGTTGCTATGTCTAATTCCGCGTGGATGACGATATTGACTTTTACAGCATACAGCCCACAACAACACGTAGTAATTACCATGTAATGTCAAAAAACAAAGTTTGAACGATTTTAGTTTTTCGTTTCTGTCCTTTTTGCACCGCCACCATTGAACCGATTTTCAAAAACTATACAGCTTTTTCGTCCTTGGCATAGTAATAAGCTTGTATGAAAATTTCATTCCAATCCGAGCGGTACTTTTTAAGTTATAGACCGACCAAGGATTAATGGATAGACAGGCAGACGGACCGATAAAACAGACTGCTTTTTGAAATTTTTCGCGATTACAATACTTCCTCGCCAATAAGCATGGGAAGTAAAACAAAACATTGCAGAAAACAACAAAATACTAAGTTAACTTATGACTTTGATGGTTATGTTATGATCAGTATTTTAAACATTTCTATAAAGGTGTTTATGAGTAAAATTGAAATATATGGCAAAAGATCAAGTTTTCCATAACAGCTCATCAAACTATAAGGATATAAAAACAAAACAGTTTTGCAGAAACAGGTACCAATACCATGCTTTGCATTTTAAAAAAATGGCATTTCTTTAAATTGTGACCAAATACAAGTCCTATGTCAAGTGGGTTTCATGAGATTTGCGTGTCACACATCTGGAATCAAAATTTTTCTAACTGTAGTAAAGTTCAAATAAGTCAAGGGCGTTTTAGTTCCTAAATATTCTTTACCTCAACAAACTAACTCCCTCCTGTGATGTGTGACTTTCCTCTGCTGCTGTTATTCTTGAAGTTGGAGGCTGAAGTTGTGCATATGGATGTTCTTTTGATTGTATCTTATCATAATTGACTCTTTCATAAGGTGAAAATGTGTCATCAGCCTGACTGATGGAGCTGTGCTGCGAAATGCTGGGCCTTGCTTCCAAACCATTTGCTATGGTATGCCTTTTTGCTGCAATGAAAAATCAATTTTTACCATACTATTTACTATGGTAGCCCATTTATTCATCTAGTTACACTATCATACCTACAATTTTGGCTTAAAAAACAATTTTCAGTTGTGGTGTGTATTAAAATAATATAGGTGTTATTAGTTGGTTACACATGTATGATTTTTGTGTGCTCCAGTGAAAAGTACTTTTTGATAAGAGTATATATACATCAATTAGGAACCAATCACAAAAATGGAAATGTAAAACACATGTGACAACAATCTAAAACAAAATGATAACTTATCATAAGTAGATAAATATACTCGTAATAACAGAAGATCGATAGTTATGTTATCATCAATCTATAAATGAATGATGAATATTGAAAATTATGTCAGTCATTCAATTCTATGTTAATTCCAAATATATTCTACCATCAATTCAAATACAAACCTGAGTTTTGATTTTGATACTGCCCCACAGTAGCATATAATTCTGATGAATTATCTCCTGTTGGATCCCAATTCACACCATTGCTTTGCTCAGAAGGAATATCAGGCAAGCTTCTTCTAGGATTTGAAATGGTGTTCCTTAAATAGAACAAATGGACTTTATTTATGTGGGCACCTATATAACATTGAATACAGCAATTGATGATTATAATTTACACTACACAGGCCGAAATTGATATCTAAGAAAATGATTAAAAGCTCTAAAAATTGATTCAGTCACAAATATCAAAAATCATAATTTATTTTGAGACAGTGTATTTGTAAGTGTTGTTTCATGGGGTGACAGCAACAGAAGATAGCAACACAAGACATTGATGATTCACAACCTAGGTCATACTTGCCTACTTAGTGCTTTTATTTGCATGGCAGTTTGTGTGTGAGAATGTAACATCAACAGGAGACAAAGTGTATAGCATACATTCATGCATACATAATTAAAATTTGGGGTATGTCATGCTCCTCACTGTATACTTCAGTACACAGTAATATTCCTGTTCTCACAACATTGCTCTGACCTAGCTTGTGTTAACTTGTCAATAATAACTTAAGGAGATTTATAGGTATATATTGCTTTTGCATGAGATTAGTAATTACAGCACCAATTGTAACAAGTATTTTAATATGTGGAGCAATAGGGTGAACCAATAAGATGAGTATTTTCAAGACAAACTTGGCCTCTCAGTAACAAGATTAACAACATGGGCTCAGTTGCTATTTAATATAATTGCAACAAGTACTGAAATACTGTGGTCTACTGTATATTAAAATTCACGTCACTTCTGCTCCAAAAACAGTATTATAGTTACTGCTACATATTGACACACTTTTCAATAAAACTGGAATTTCAAATCCTCTTAGTTTAAATTGTGATAAAATCATACCTTTTGGCATCTACTGAATCTCCAGGTGTGTGGACACCATCTATCATGCAAGTGGTTGCTGAAGGAAGGTGATTGACATTTTCATCTGGGTTTTTCTGGGTTACCATGCCATCCAAGCCTTGCCAATCATCACTGTAGGGCAAATATAGTTAAAATATGTTTGGTAATGAGTGCGATAGATCTTACTTTGGGGGTTTCTTCCTCCAACAGATGCAAAACACCAATGACATGGCCAAAGCTGCCCCTATACACCATGAAAGAAAAATCAACCACATTGTTCCTAGCACATCTTACATCCGATGCTGTAATAGCACTTGAAGCTATTTCTTTCGCCACAACTGTTGGTCAGATCCTTACCATTTTTTACCTAGAAGGGCTCATCCTACATTTTCTCTTTACTTCAACAACGTGTTAACTCTACTCTAGGAATAGTTGTTCATAATGAAAACATCCATGAGAAACCAACATATACTAGATTTTTGGGAAATAGAGCTACAGTTAATAAAAACAAATTAAAAATATTTTAAAGTTGTACATTCCATACTACAAATTACAACTACAAATCACAAAATAACTATTTGTTAAGAAAAACATAAGCTGATCCAAATGTCAAAACTTAAAACATGTCATAACATAACTCAAGCGTCTCATGTCATCTGCTTTTTTTCACACTTGACATTGCCGATAAGACAGAATCCTTCTATTTACATCTGTTAATTAGTTATCACCCAGTAGATGGCAAAAGTGAGCAGTACAAAATTCTTCATATGGGATGGCTACCAGAGATATGGCTACATATGGTGCAATATGGTGGTACCATGCAGACTTGTGAGTCTTAATTTGTGGTCTTATGTGTTTTTGTTTTGTGACTTGTGATGAAGACTAGGCTAGGATATAGGAGAAAGGAGATTAAACGTGAATAAGCGAATGTCACAGGTCACATACACGATCAGTGTTATCTGTTATGTATAGGCGCCCGAAGCAGGGGGGTTACCCCCGAGATTCCAATGGAGCTTAAAATTTGTAATTTTGTGAACAATTTTGTAGATTAGCCCCCTTCAGTAAATTCGCTACTTTCCATTGTTCAGAGCGTTTACGCATTGAAAAATGCCAACATAACCTGCCGCATTCATAATATGCATTTCTCTCACGTTTTGCCTTTTTGTAGGTTTATTCATGGTCTATTAATATTATTAGTCATGTTGACAGCAACAGGGAGAGTTCCACATGCGCAGAACTTGAAATTAATTTTCTGCGCAGTCTACACACGAGAGAGTGATGCCCTAAACGCAGCACCCGAAATCATTTGCTAGGCAGAGCATCAACTCACTTATTCATTGTCGACATTTTTGGCTCCTCTCCCTCTCTATGAGTTTAACCTTCTATCTGCTTCATGGTTACTAATTTACTGATGGTTTTCTCAGTTGGTTTCTACGTAACCTTATACGTCAAAACTACACGGTCAATACCAATACGTGTCAGATTCCACGCCAAATGCTGATGGACCACAGGAAATACTGATCTTGCGACATTAACCTTAGGAAAGAGACGTATTTGTATGAATCCAATTCTCAATTCTGTGGCGACTGTCGCTAAAGCGTAGCTCTCGGAAATATAGTGCGCGTAGACGTCTGCGCATGTACGTGAAAGAGAGATGGGTAGGAGATGCTGAGATGCTGTCATGAGAGAGATGTCACATGCGCAGAACCTGAAATACATTTCTGACTGTGAATTCACCTTCTTAAGGCCTATTCACACTCAGCCGTGACGTGACAGTGCCAGTGATTCTCGCTGACGTAAGCTCGCAGTGTTTTCAATTCACACCATGCTCTGACAGTGCAGTTGTGTTCACGTGATATCGAGATGGCAAAAATTTCCGAGGATGAACTTGCAATCATTGCATTAATTCTGGATTTTTTTTATGTTTTTACTACCACGAAGGCCTAAGTCCTACAGTATATTCAGATAAGAGATAGACCGGATGTAAACAAAAGGTTCGGGTGATTTTCACGCTAACGCCGCCGTCTCGACGTAAAACAGGAGCCCTCATTGGTCAATTCGCATTTAAATGCCTATGCCGAGCGGCAGAGCAGTCGTATCAAGGCAGAGTCACATTCAGGTTCAGACGTGTTACGTATGTCGTGTGCTCGTGTGCATCATTGCAATTTGATATTTCTTTGGACGTTTTCGTTTGTTATCTTATTAAGTTGTTGAGTTTGTCGTTGTTATTGTTATACCTTGTTATAATTATAGGCTAATTTAAACGTCATTTTGAGATTATATTCGACTGTATTTCACCAAACATCAGACGGCATCCGAAGCTGGAAATCGAAGCGAAAATTTTGAAACCCTTATGTATATTTACATTATTATATATTTCTTACCCCACCCCCACATGATCCTATATCCATCATCAATCGTATACACATCGAATTGTGCTAATTTACTACAAAGTTACGCAAAGCAGCATCTACTATCTAAAATATGTACTGCGTGACTCTTAATACGTCCCTGCCGAATGTTACAGCGTTCGATGATCACGTGGTCTTGTTTATGTCCGGTCTATCTCTTATCTGAATATACTGTAGACTCCCATAGGGGCACCGTGGTGCTATAGGGGGAAACAGGGGAAAGGAGGGATGCCACACGGACTCTGGCAAGGGAACACGTGTGCATGCAATATGCACACATTCTGGCCCCGCCTACAAGACCCGCCGGGTGGTACCTCCGCGTTCGACAGCCAGAGACCGTCTACCAGCTACGAAAGATGAAGAAGAAGAAACGAGAAGAAAACGGAAGTCAATGTATCTTGAATTTGACTGGTTCTACCGCACGGGATGTACGCGTACAAATTCAATTAGTTTTTCATCATTCATGTTTTTGATCAATTATATCAAAATATTCACGAAAATACATAAAAACACGGCCGTGAAAATCGGAAAATATCGTTCCAAAACAATGCGATGATCACGGTACGGCGTCGTCGATTGCACTGAGAACACGGACACGTCCACGTGTCGGTCTAGTGTGAATCAGTTCATCCAAATTCCAGGAAGAATGTTTTTTGTTTCGCCGGGCGGATCACGTGCCGGTCACAGCACTGTCTCGTCACGGCTGAGTATGGATAGGCCTTAATACAATTAAATCCAAATATCACTAGCGAGGTAGGAGAAGCGTACAATTCTTAAGCTGGCTACACACGATCCGGCAGGCCTGTCAGTTCGAACTGAACAGACCGCCTGAAGACCAGTCGCCTGATGGACTGACCACCATCTACACGTTCAGGCGAATATGAAATATCAGTCTCAATCATCATATTATGGCCTCCACTGACGACGACGCGTTAGCACTTCTCCGCTTAGTAGTTGCTTTGGGTGAAAAGAAATCAAAAAAAAAAAAAAACGTACGGTATGGTGTAAAGATTGGTTGAAAAAAAGGAACGTTTTTTCTCATGTGAATTTGCTGAATGACCTGAAGTTAGCTCCCAAGGATTGGCACAATTATCTACGTATGGATGAAGTTACGTATCTGTAACTTTTATCATTGGTAGCACCTTTGATAGAAAGAAAATACACTGTAATGAGAGAAGCAATCCCAGCACACGAAAGGCTGACGGCAACTTTGAGGTTTCTAGCTACTGGAAGAACCTATGAGGACCTCAAGTTTTCCACTATTATATCACCTCAAGCTCTGAGTTACATTATTCCTGAAACTTGTGAAGCAATATGGGAAGTTCTACGCAAGGATTTTATGAAGGTAAGAAAATATTTGTTTGAATATTAAACATACAGATAAACAAAAACATTAAATTTCTTGAATATTAAACATATAAACAAAAACATTATATTTCTTCCATAAAAAATACAAACACAAGTTCAGTTATCAGTTGTTATCAGCATAAGTCAATGAAGCTAAAAGAGAACCAGCAGTCTGGTACTGGCGAGGTGATGCCGACGGTTCCCTTTCTTGAACACTTTCTGTCTGGGGAAAAAACATGTTATTCTGGGAGTGGTATTCAATTGAAGCTTCGGAGTTCTGAAGTACCAACTGCTGCGATGGTGATCATATTGCTAATGATTGAGAACTTGGGCGGCTAGGATTGGAACTAGATGAAAGATTCGAATAATATTCATTTGACGAAGGGGAGTTCAGTAGTAGCAACTGCTGCGGTGGTGCTGGTGTTGCGGAGAGTTAAAAGCTTGGCCGACTATAATAGGTACTGGATGAATGATAACGATTAGACAAAGGTGGCTGATAAGTCAGTTTATGATGTGGTGTTAATGTTCCACCCTCAGCTTCAAAAAGTACGTCAATAATAAATTTCTCTGCAAGGCGTCTCTGATCGTTGGTTAAATCTCTGAGCTTCATAGTAACGTTTTTACCAACAATGTCAAACCGGTCACCCGCTGTGCGTGGCCGTTTGAAGTGGTTATTGACGGTTGCTAGTACTTCTTTTGTTAACTGTGTTTGGTTATCTGGTTTTTGAGATTTTGGTGTCGGTCTATGGCGAAACTGCGAACCTCAAGCCACACTTGAAGTTTTTCCAGTAGAATCTTGGGTTTCAGGTACAGTTTGAGGGCTGTGTGTATCTGTGTTTAAAGTTTCGGCCTGTGATTCATCCTGTAACAAAAGATTTGTTTGAAGAGTTTTGTTAGTTTTTTTTGTGTGGAAATATCTATGGTTTTCATTACTGTATTACTTAATCGTATTTCATAAATTCAAAGCATGAAAAAAATTAAATAATACACAATTTATTTCTTTTGCCAGACATTTTTAATGAATATTTTTATCATGCATAATGCATCATATTATTTTTTTTTTCAGTTTCCACGACTAGAACAAGACTGGAGAAACATTTCTCAGAGCTTTGATGAACTCTGGAACTCTCCTCATTGCCTTGGAGCCATTGACGGCAAGCATGTGAGCATCGTCCCCCCATCTGGAAGCGGATCGTACTATTATAATTATAAAGGTTTTCATAGCATGGTGCTATTAGCCTTAGTTAATGCAAACTATCGTATTTTAATGTGCGATTTCGGAACAAATGGCAGGGTGTCTGATGGTGGTGTATTACAAAATACCAAATTTTTTGAAAAACTACAAAATAATCTCCTGAAAATTCCTGGAGAAGAAACCATACGGAATACTTACAGAAGCCTACCATATGTATTTATAGGAGATGATGCATTTCCATTGAGGGTAGACCTGATGAAAAGTTTTCGACAGGCAGCCTTGACTTCTAGGGAGAAAAAAATTTACAACTACCGTTTATCACGAGCAAGTCGTATTGTCGAAAATGTATTTGGAATATTTGCTGCCAGATTTCGGATATTTCACACTTGCATTAATTTGGAACCGCGAAATATTGAATTCGTTGTAATGGCTTGCTGCATGTTAGATAACTTTTTGATAGCTAATTCATCAAGAACATATTTATACTCCTCCAGAGTGCTTTGACTATGATGATACGGAAGAAGGTGTGACACATTTTGGATTGAATTCACAAGGTTCTAATATGTCTAGGTTGCAACGAAGACCATTTGGAAATACAGTGAATGCAGCAAAAGAAGTTAGGGAGGCCTTTATGAGTTATTTTACGAATGAAGGTAAAGTTTCTTGGCAAGATAGATTCATCCAATAAAAACTTACCTACTAATAATACTATTGTATAGGGTGGTCCAAATTGGTTGCTCTCTTATGGGAGCACCCCTTATTGAAAGAAATCGACTAAATTTTAAGAACGTCCCCTGGCAACAAAACGATTACAAATTGCAAAATTTTGTTTGCGCCAATTACTTTTTTTGACCAATTTGGACCACACTAAAAATACACAAATTACCTACAAATAGGTACTTATTTACATTATGAAAAATGTGTGTTTATTAAATAAATAAACAAATTATCTACTGAATGTTTCTGTCACTTACCTCATTTTCGCTCTCTTGGTCATCCGAGATATTGCTTCGAACCGGTGTGAAGTTGGCAGACAAAATTTAGCGGACAATTTGCCGAAGATACCCGAATGACCAGTGACGTCGACATCCTCGACCAGACTGTGATTGTGAAGGATACAGCTAACAGCTCGCAACAATAAATATATATACAGGGTGACTTTGAAGTTGAGTCATTAATTTTCAGATAATGATTGTAGAAGGAAGATAAACCAAAATATGTGTGTAAAAATAAAAAAGAAATTAAAAAAATGTTTACTTTGTTTTATAAAGTATCCTCCCGACAAGTATTTCAGTGCGGACCTGTATTTGATCGTGAGGTCCCCTGTGAGGTCTTAAGTCACCTGATTCACGAGCCCGTTGTACTACATTAACAAAGGCACGAGGGGTTGGTTGCACTCGATTGGGAAACCGATCCGCATAAACATGTGCCATTTTTTATTTCGTTTGAGCCACTATTCACACGCGACTGAAACTGACTGTATGTATAACTGAACTGAATTGTAATCGTAAAAACATCGTTCCAAATTCTTTCGCTTTTTTGTTTCCGATGCGATGAACCGTTGTTGCCAAACACGAACACATGATATTATTGAGACAGGGCGGTACTCAAACTTCCAAAGGGCTATAACTTTGTTACTTTAATTTTACCAGAAAAATGGCAAAGGAAAAAAACATTTCTTTTGATCAGATCTACACACTGTTAAAATAAATGACTCAACTTCGAAGTCACCCTGTATATATATGCACGAGAATAAGCACCCCTATAGGAAGAATCATTTTCCACCCTAATTAAATAATTGGCAGGAACAAGAGTTAACCCACAACCTTTCTTCGAGTTTTCACTTACCGATTACTGTATTAAAAGTAATTAATGAGCTAAATAGCATATACTGAGAAAATCTCTAAAGGGGTGCTAGATGAAAAAATATAAATAAAACTTCATTTTCACCCCCAAAAAAATGATTCCACAAAATGATTTATATCTCAAAAAAATCCTCTATAACAGAGACAATTCATGGGCTAGGTGGGATGGTGTGAGAAAGCTTCTGAAAGGCTGGCAGATAAAAAAATATGCTAAAAAATTAATTTTCACCCCCAAGGAAATGATTCCCCAAAATCACTTGTACCTCAAAAAAATACCCTATTATAGAGACAATTTATAGGCTAGGTGGCATGGTGTGAGAAAGCTTCTGAAAGGCTCGCAGATAAAAAATATGCTAAAAAAATTCATTTTCACCCCCAAGGAAATGATTCCCCAAAATCAGTTGTACCTCAAAATAATACTCTATTATAGAGACTATTTATAGGCTAGGTGGCATGGTGTGAGAAAGCGTCTGAAAGGCTGGCAGATAAAAAAATATGCTAAAAAATCAATTTTCACCCCCAAGGAAATGATTCCCCAAAATCAATTGTACCTCAAAAAAATACTCTATTATAGAGACAATTTATAGACTAGGTGGCATGGTGTGAGAAAGCTTCTGAAAGGCCGGCAGATAAAAAAATATGCAAAAAAATTCATTTTCACCCCCAAGGAAATGATTCCCCAAAATTAGTTGTACCTCAAAAAAATACTCTATTATAGAGACTATTTATAGGCTAGGTGGCATGGTGTGAGAAAGCTTCTGAAAGGCTGGCAGATAAAAAAATATGCTAAAAAATTCATTTTCACCCCCAAGGAAATGATTCCCCAAAATCAGTTGTACCTCAAAAAAATACTCTATTATAGAGACTATTTATAGGCTAGGTGGCATGATGTGAGAAAGCTTCTGAAAGGCTGGCAGATAAAAAAATATGCTAAAAAATTCATTTTCACCCCCAAGGAAATGATTCCCCTAAATCACTTGTACCTCAAAAAAATACTCTATTATAGAGACAATTTATAGGCTAGGTGACATGGTGTGAGAAAGCTTCTGAAAGGCTGGCAGATAAAAAAATATGCTAAAAAATTCATTTTCACCCCCAAGGAAATGAATCCCCAAAATCAGTTGTACCTCAAAAAAATACTCTATTATAGAGACTATTTATAGGCTAGGTGGCATGGTGTGAGAAAGCTTCTGAAAGGCTGGCAGATAAAAAAATATGCTAAAAAATTCATTTTCACCCCCAAGGAAATGATTCCCCAAAATCAGTTGTACCTCAAAAAAATACTCTATTATAGAGACTATTTATGGGCTAGGTGGCATGATGTGAGAAAGCTTCTGAAAGGCTGGCAGATAAAAAAATATGCTAAAAAATTCATTTTCACCCCCAAGGAAATGATTCCCCTAAATCACTTGTACCTCAAAAAAATACTCTATTATAGAGACAATTTATAGGCTAGGTGACATGGTGTGAGAAAGCTTCTGAAACGCTGGCAGATAAAAAATATACTACATTTTCACCCCCAAGGAAATGATTCCCCAAAATCAGTTGTACCTCAAAAAAATACACTATTATAGAGACTATTTATAGGCTAGGTGCATGGTGTGAGAAAGCTTCTGAAAGGCTGGCAGATAAAAAATATGCTAAAAAAAATTCATTTCACCCCCAAGGAAATGATTCCCCAAAATCAGTTGTACCTCAAAAAATACTCTATTACAGAGACTATCTTATAGGCTAGGTGACAAGGTGTGAGAAAGCTTCTGAAGGCTGGCAGATAAAAAAATATGCTAAAAAATTAATTTTCACCCCAGGAAATGATTCCCAAATCAGTTGTACCTCAAAAAAATAACCCTATTAAGAAGAGAGCAATTTATAGGCTAGATGGCATGTTGGAGAAAAAGCTTCTGAAAGGCTGGCAGATATAAAAAAATATTGCTAAAAAATTAATTTTCACCCCAAGGAATGAGAAAGCTTCTGAAAGGCTTTCAGATAAAAAAATTGCAGATAAAAAATATGCTAAAAAATTAATTTTCGCCACCAAGGAAATGATTCCCCAAAATCAGTTGTACCTCAAAAAAATACTCTATTATAGAGACTATTTATAGGCTGGGTGACATGGTGTGAGAGAGCTTCTGAAAGGCTGGCAGATAAAAAAATATGCTAAAAAATTAATTTTCACCCCCAAGGAAATGATTCCCCAAAATCAGTTGTACCTCAAAAAAATACTCTATTACAGAGACTACTTATAGGCTAGGTGACATGGTGTGAGAAAGCTTCTGAAAGGCTGGCAGATAAAAAAATATGCTAAAAAATTAATTTTCACCCCCAAGGAAATGATTCCCCAAAATCAGTTGTACCTCAAAAAAATACCCTATTAGAGAGACAATTTATAGGCTAGGTGGCATGGTGTGAGAAAGCTTCTGAAAGGCTGGCAGATAAAAAAATATGCTATTAAATTAATTTTCACCCCCAAGGAAATGATTCCCCAAAATCAGTTGTACCTCAAAAAAATACCCTATTATAGAGACAATTTACAGACTGGGTGACATGGTGTGAGAGAGCTTCTGAAAGGCTGGCAGATAAAAAAATATGCTAAAAAATTAATTTTCACCCCCAAGGAAATGATTCCCCAAAATCAGTTGTACCTCAAAAAAATACTCTATTACAGAGACTACTTATAGGCTAGGTGACATGGTGTGAGAAAGCTTCTGAAAGGCTGGCAGATAAAAAAATATGCTAAAAAATTAATTTTCACCCCCAAGGAAATGATTCCCCAAAATCAGTTGTACCTCAAAAAAATACTCTATTACAGAGACTACTTATAGGCTAGGTGACATGGTGTGAGAAAGCTTCTGAAAGGCTGGCAGATAAAAAAATATGCTAAAAAATTAATTTTCACCCCCAAGGAAATGATTCCCCAAAATCAGTTGTACCTCAAAAAAATACCCTATTATAGAGACAATTTATAGGCTGGGTGCCATGGTGTGAGAAAGCTTCTGAAAGGCTGGCAGATAAAAAATATGCTAAAAAATTAATTTTCGCCACCAAGGAAATGATTCCCCAAAATCAGTTGTACCTCAAAAAAATACTCTATTATAGAGACTACTTATAGGCTAGGTGTTATGGTGTGAGAAAGCTTCTGAAAGGCTGGCAGATAAAAAAATATGCTAAAAAATTCATTTTCACCCCCAAGGAAATGATTCCCCAAAATCAATATGTACCTCAAAAAAATACTCTATTATAGAGACTACTTATAGGCTAGGTGTTATGGTGTGAGAAAGCTTCTGAAAGGCTGGCAGATAAAAAAATATGCTAAAAAATTCATTTTCACCCCCAAGGAAATGAATCCCCAAAATCAGTTGTACCTCAAAAAAATACTCTATTACTGAGACTACTTATAGGCTAGGTGACATGGTGTGAGAAAGCTTCTGAAAGGCTGGCAGATAAAAAAATATGCTAAAAAATTAATTTTCACCCCCAAGGAAATGATTCCTCAAAATCAGTTGTACCTCAAAAGAATACCCTATTATAGAAACAATTTATAGGCTAGGTGACATGGTGTGAGAAAGCTTCTGAAAGGCTGGCAGATAAAAAAATTTGCTAAAAAATTCATTTTCACCCCCAAGGAAATGATTCCCCAAAATTAGTTGTAGCTCAAAAAAATACTCTATTATGGAGACTATTTATAGGCTAGGTGGCATGGTGTGAGAAAGCTTCTGAAAGGCTGGCAGATAAAAAAATATGCTAAAAAATTCATTTTCAACCCCAAGGAAATGATTCCCCAAAATCAGTTGTACCTCAAAAAATATTCTATTATAGAGACTATTTATAGGCTAGGTGGCATGGTGTGAGAAAGCTTCTGAAAGGCTGGCAGATAAAAAAATATGCTAAAAAATTAATTTTCACCCCCAAGGAAATGATTCCCCAAAATCAGTTGTACCTCAAAAAAATACTCTATTATAGAGACTATTTATAGGCTGGGTGACATGGTGTGAGAGAGCTTCTGAAAGGCTGGCAGATAAAAAAATATGCTAAAAAATTAATTTTCACCCCCAAGGAAATGATTCCCCAAAATCAGTTGTACCTCAA